AATAAATCAGAAGAAAATTTATAGTAAATAATTAGGCAAATTTGCCTGCAAAACCCTATAATTTAAGGGATAATAATATAATTTTATAATTTTTTAGTAATATAATAAAAAAGCATTTATTGATTTACTTTGCTTTTTAAAATTATCAAAATCTATAATATTTTTTAAATACAATAAACTAACAATTTGATTAATTAAAATTATTATTAATATAAAGATTTTAACAAAAAAATTTTATTTATAAAACTATTAATATTTTAATTGATATAAAGACAAAAATCAAAAGCATTTTAAGCTATAATCATTTGAAATTAATAAAATTTTTTATATTTTCTTAATTTTTAATTATAATAAAAAATTACTTTATTTTTTTTTATAATATCTATAAATTTTAATTTTCTAATATTTTATTTATTAATACCATTTTAAATAATTATATTTTTATCAGTAAATACTTTACAAAAATTCTATTGATATTGATTTGATATTGTTATAATATCAATTTAATATAAAATTTATATTAATATCTTAACAATATCAATTTGTTATTGATTTGATATTAACAATTCAATATTGATTCAATGTTTAATTTTATCAAGATCAATATGATAACATAATGATAGATCTACAAAATTATATTTAATGTATCTAATATAAATATTGATAAAATTTTTTATTTACAAGTTTTTAAACTTATTTAAAATAATTTTAATAAATTTTATTTACAAATAAAATTTTTAATAATATAATTTAATTATAATAATATTATAATAATAAAAATAATAGTAAAGATAATTTTCATAATTATTTTTAATTTTTATTTAAGTTTTAACTTAATTGCAATATGGGTTGTAATATAATTATGACATTTTTTAGTAATTGCAAAATAGTATTATTATTAATAATAGTAATAATAATAATACTTATATTATTATTAAAAATAATATATTATAATCATTTATAGTATTTTAGAATTTATAAAAACAAGAATATAATATAAAAATAAGTTAAAATATTTTTTAATTTATTATTTATTTATTATTTTAACAATTTTATTTTTAACAAAGATAATATATATAATTATTAATTTAAAAAAGTATTGCAATTTGAAATATCATATATATTGTAAATTTAAAGATTTAAAATTTATAATAATTATAATATTAATAATATAATAATATTTTATAATATTATTTATTATTAAAATAAGTGTAAATTATATAATTTTTAATATAATTTTAATAATAAAAATATTTATATAAAGTATTATAAATTAAATTTATATATATATATTAAATAATAAATATTATAATATAGCAAATTTATATATATAGTTAAAACAATACACTTAAAAGTATTATTTTAATTTATAATATATCTTTTTTTATTAATTAATAATTATATTAATTAAAAATAATTTCTAAAATTATTTTAAATTTTATTTAAATTTCAATCTTAATTAAAATATTATAATGTTAATAAATTAGCAAAATATATTTTAGAATTATGATATTTTTATTATCTTTTAATATTAAATAGTCTAGATCAATAAAGTATTTAATTATAAAAATTTTATATTAAATAAATCATAATAATAATAAATATATATTTTAATATATTTTACCAATTAATATAAAAGTTATAATATCCTATAATTTAATTTTATTTGTTGTATCAATAAAGCTTTCTCTGCTTTCTCTATAAAAATTAATTTTGTATTAAAAAGTCTTTATATGCATGTAATTTTTTGTATTAATCATATTTAAGTAATGTTTAATAGAATTGTTTTTAATTTTATAATAATGATTATTTTTTTAACCTTTTTTATGAGATCATAATTCAAAAGATTATGACAGAGTCATTAAATTTAATTCTTATATTACTAGTTAAGTATGTGATATTTGATAAGTTTAGTGTAATAAAATCTTTAATATTAATAATTATCTTTTATTATATAAGTATTTTATTTTTTATGAATTATATTCAAGATTTTATTTATAAAGACATTCTGTAGAAATTAGCTTAAAAACTTTATAATCTAATTTTATATAAGTCTATATAATATTAAACTTTTCAATTTCAAGATTTATATCATTCAAATATTCTATAAAATAATAATAAAGTATATTATAGTATAATTCACAATTCAGTTATTGAAGATTATCAGCTTATTATAATCAAATTTTTTTCTTTTATAAATACCAGTTCAAATAGAAGCTTACTTTCAAAAATCTAATAGTAAAATTTGAAATCAGTCTTATTTTAAAACAGTTAATGATCATAAGTATTTATAACATAAATATATTAAGAAAAATGATTTTATATACATTCTTTAATTCTTAAATATTTTTTAATGATATTAATAAATATAAACTTTTTTTATTAAGTTATAAATTACCAATATCAAATATAATTATTTTATAGTTATATATATATTATATTTAATAAAATTTTAAAGGATTGGAAATTTTTATTGTATTTGTATTAATTTTGATATTAATTATAATGTATTAACTATATTAATTACTGTATTATATTATATTTTATAATCCTAATTTAATTATAAAAAAATAGGTTAAATTACTTTATTTATTTAATTATCTTTAGAAAGATAAATAATAGATTTAATAAAAATTTTAGTTTATTGATAAAAAAAATAGATAAAAAAAATAATATAAAAGAGTAATAAAGTAATTTGTTAATAATAGAAAAATTATTAAAATAATTTATTTAATAAAATATAACTATTTATTTTACCTTTTTTAATAATATTTATAATTATTATAATTATATTAATTATTTACAAATTTTAATATATAAAATTTAAAAGAATTTAATATTATTATAATAAGAATTAATATATATGTTAAATTTTGATTTGTAATAATATTAAAAGAAAAAAATTATTTAATACACTTATGTATTATATATATCTAGATTATATAATAAGCTATCATATATATCATATCTAATTTTTTATTTTTTATTCTGGAAACAGTTTTTTTAGAATATGAAATCCTATTTGTATTTGTTATTTATCATAAACATCATGACATTATCCTTATCTTATAGCATTAAGGTTAGTTTACTTATGATTTGGAATTAAAATTAATATAAGTTAAGATTAATTTATTAAATTAGTTATATTTAGTGATACCTGTCTAAATACTTTTTTAAAAATTATAATTTTATCAAAAAATTTGTCTCTTTAATATTTTTATATAAATAAATATAAAATTATTATATTTTTTAATATATTTTAATTCAAAAAATTTAAATTAAGTTAAAATATAATTTTGGCAATTAAGTAAAATAATTTCATCATTTATAAAAACTAGTTTTGTCATTTCAATTTCTTTAGTTTTATCAAATAGTTTTATTAGGTATTATTAGTTATATTATATATAGTGTGCATATAACACATAGTATATTAAATAAATATTTTCTATTAAAAATTTTATATATAATACTTAAAAAAATTTAAAACTTTTATATTAAAATATAATATTATTTATTAAATCTACTTAAATTTAATAATTTATATATTTTAAAAGCTAAAAAATGCTATATAATATGTTAAGTTACTAAAATAATAAATTATAATTATTAAATAAGATAAAAAAAAATAAAAATAAAATTTACAAACTAATATAAAGGAAAATATTATTATATAATTTTTTATTATATATATTTTATATTTTATATAGAAAAAAAATTATTATCCCTTTATTAGTTTTGCTTTTAAATTTAAAAGCAATTTTAAAATCATTTTAAAATATTTTTAAAAATATTTTTAAAAATATAATAATTTTATAATAAATTTTATCCTCAGAGTACTCAAATTAACTTTTCATGGTGGATTTTTAGATAAGTTAACAAAGAATAAATAAAATAAAAAAAAAGTTATTTATTAATAATTTTTTAAGAATAAATAAGTAATAAATTATTATAAAAATAATCTAATTATTTAGATCAGAATATCTTATTATCTATTAATCTTAAAAATATAAAAATATTACTGTTTAATACTTTTTTATGAAAAGAATTTAATAAACTGAATTATATTTTTCTGCAATTATTAGAAAAAAAATTATTTAAAAGATTTAAAATATAAATTTTGATTTATTGATACTAGAAATATAATTATAGTTTTATTAAATGCATCATAATTAGATGAATCTAATAAGTTAAATTTCATCTTTTTATGATCAATAATTTTAAATAATAGTTAATATTATTATTTATTTAATAATTTTTAAAGTTTTGTAAATTAATTTGAAAATTGAAAATTTAATTTTTAAAGATTCGATTTTAATTATTTTAAATTAATTTTATTAAATTTTGCTTTTAAAACTTTATAATTATTTAAAAGTTATACTATGGTATAATCAGATTCATTTTTGTATTTGGACGAGAGTTACAGCCTAATTTGATCACCTATGAACTGAGGTTTTTGTTATGTTGTAAATTTAATATATTGATTATTCATAAAAAATGAGATCCAAAATATGCATAGATAATGCTTGTAAAATTGCGTCTGAAAGAAGAGAAGAATGCCTTTTCAAAATTTATATAAATAGTTCATGAATAGACCGCATCATTTAGTAATATAAAATATCAAAGATCGTACCTTTAAAACTGTTAAATTGGTTGCTTGGAGAATGTCTCTCTAAAAAAGTACATTAATAGTAATACAACTTACTTGTGATGTTGTCAAATGGACATACATGTAAAAAATAACAAATCATGATGCCCGACTAGTGCAAGTAATAAAAGTTCTGCTGATCTTCAACATATAAAAGATAGGAACTTGATATTATATAGAATTCTTCATAGAGGCGATCCCAAAAACAGCAAGCACGGGAAAGAATTATGCGAAAGAATTGGATTGCTTTTACGATTCACTATTATTTTTTTCGACTATAATTTACATATCCAGAATTACACAAAATAATTTCTTAGATATACACACATGTTTAAAATCACGAGCCTACACACGTATGATCGAAGCTGAACCTTATGAGGTTCGTGATACAGAAAATTTTGTTATGTGAAATTTTTTCTGTCGCACGGGAAAATGGCATTGTAAATTTTTCTTTACAAACCAGCTCGGAATGGCCTATTATTTTCGTAGGAGCGTTTTACTATCTTGCCTCGTTACCCGTCAAGTCAAGTTCCTTCAACCACAAAAATTAGCGTTTAAGAATTCAAACCCTCAATTCTCGCTTTCGAGATCTTACATAAACTCTACATTTCATTCCTCTCCTCCTAACACACTCTCCGAAGAATCTACTTTATCCTCCAACCTGAACAAAAACCTGGGTAAAATCGGAACTGGCTTTGCAAAACGGCTTCCGGTATGAAATCATCTTTGTTTGCTGTGCATTATTTGACCAGGTTTCTCAACATCTTTTCATTTGTAGACTGCTATATTTGCGAATTTAGTTGTGGCTGGCGTTGTTTGTTTGGTATCGGTGGATCTTCTTTATGCTGGGTATCGGAATAGGCGCAATGAGCGTCTTCTTAATGAGACCGTGGAAAAGGGCACTAGACCCGAAGTTGATATTTCAGATGATGAACTTGTTCCTCGACCCAAAATTGTAGAACGTCTTGCAAAAATTTTTCAACCATATAAAAATCAGTCATTTTACCATGTGGTCTGCGGAGAACATGGAACTGGGAAAACCACTCTAACTAGAATTGCATCAAATGAAGTAGGACAGGTTAAGGACAAAGGTATACAAGGTGGAATGGGAGTCATTTATGTGGACATTCCTGCGAATTTCAATGAATTAGGTGAGGCTTTCGGAAAAGCCATTAATTTTGCATTTGAGGAACAAATTTCTTTTACAGGACAATGGATGCGAAAAATATTAGGTGAAATTAATGGTAAGTTTTCATCACACTTATCATTAATAACAGCCATTCTAATTCTTATTTTTCTTTTCATAGATAAATCTAAGATTTCTGAATGGGAAAGAGCTATGAGAGCCTTTAAGCGTGCTTCTGCTGTGTATAAAGCAAAGCATGGAAAACCTCCTGTCATTGTTTATGACAATGTTAGTCGATTAGTACATAATAACCCGGAAATCCTCGATATTCTCCAGGACGATGCCAAGGACAATGCTGATGACCGAAAATACATCGCTGTGTTTGTTAGCAGTGAAGGTTCGGTGCCTAGAAGGATGGAATGTAAGTACTGACATGATTTTTGTTGTGCTCTTGAAAAATAGAATAATAGTAATACTTACAAATCATGATTCTTATTTTAGCTCGTAGTGCTTGGTCACGAGCAAAAAAACCTGTGATGGAAATCGGCGACCTTAGCAAGGAAGAATCAATGAAATATCTAACTGAGAAGCGCGAGATCAATGTAGTAGATGCAAAAAAAATATATGAATTGGTTGGTGGACGCATTGTAGATCTAAAGACTGTGGCGGATGATTTTCTGGCCAAACAACCCTTTGAAGGTAGGAATTAGTTTCATTATTTTGCATCAAATGAATTTACGCAACTCTGCTTCTTAAAGGCTCTTTTTTTCTGCAGTCATTAAACAGTCAATTTTAGGTGAAGTTGAGAAGAAATTTAATAATGCACAACTCCTCCGAAAGCAATTGCATCACGAAGTAGGAAAGAAAGCAATCAGAGCTTTATTAGACTCGAAAGAGTTGGGTTTTACAACATTTATGGAATTTTTTGATAACTATGAAGAAGCTGGCAAAGTATTAGAGACCAATATATTTGCATATCATCCTGAAAAAAACACTGTGACCTTCCAGTCTCAATCAATAGAATGTTATATTCGGGAAAAGGCAGATATATTCATTAAATAGAGTATATGGTTTACATTTTTAAGAAATTAAAAGTTGCAAAGAAATTCAAAATAATATATATATATACAGCCCTAATGTATACATAATGTAATTAATAAAATGATTTGATTAAAAGATAAAGCACAGTATGGGCGAAATTTTATTATATTTTTGCAAATTATAAGAAAGCTTATCATATAACCAAAATTAAGATATTAAAGGAAAATATATGAATAGCATTAATCCTTAAATCAGAATAATAAATAGTATTTCTTACATAACTATGTATTTAAAGAATCTAATATATATATATATATATATCTATTAAACGTTAGAGATTTAAATTTGATTCTTATTTTTGGATGGTATGATAAGCTTATCTAGTCTGATAAACCTTCTTGCTTAACCTTCTTTCTAGTAATGATAGCTGAATACTTAATAATGGCAACTTACTATAAGTAACTCTTTTAATTAAATTTTATTGATAAGGTCTTGATACCTGTTAGATTAATAATTAAACAGATTAAATAGGCTTGAGATACAACTATAGAAGCCTTTAGATAAGTGTAAAATGATACTTGCTTAAACAATTAAGATACTACTTTATGAACTGTCAGATATTATATCAGAAATAAAAAAAAACCTAATATTGATCCTAAAATTATTTATTTAATTTGAATTTTTTAAGTCAGTTTAGATCACTGATTGATCCAATATGATTAATTCTATGCTAAACAATTTATAAATAGTATTCTGTATGGATCATATCAAATCAAATTTAAACAAAATCTAATTTTAAAAATCTAAATTGATTTGATCTGAATCTGATAAATCTAAATCTAAATTCAATCCTATCTGATAAATTAGTCAAATCAAATCCAAATTTAATCTGAATTTGACAAATCTGAATTAAAATCTAAATCTAAATTTCAATAAATTAAAAAATTAAAATTGAATTTATTATTAACAAAATTATTTTTGATATTGTCACTGAAAATAATTCTCTTTACACATATTTCATTAAGTTACTTTACTGTGACAAGTAAGTTCTTATCATCAGACTTTATAATCTTAAAAAATTCATGTTTTACATATATCTGAAATGCCTTAGAATTATTTCGCTTAATTTATAGGAATTTAGAAAATTAGGGATTTAGAAGAAACTTAGAAAATTTATTATTCTAAGTGACAAACTCAAAAGCAAGTTAGTGTAGTAGTTTATGATCAAATCCTAGATGATAAATACGTAAAAGGAAAAAGTAATTATATTTTAAAGTTGATTCTTTTATTTATTACTTAAAACTTACAAAAGTATTAATTTACAACTTAAGCAAAAAGCTATTCTATTTATATAAAATTAATTTGTTACAGCTAACTAATTGTTATGCTATAAACTAACCAACTAAATTTGTAATTATAAGTGCTAATATAATAATAATAATAATTATAACTAGAAAATGGGTTTGAAAATTGTTGTTAAGTTTAAAGTATATGTGTAATGAAAAAAACCAATTATATATCAACTCAATTTTTAAGCGAAAGGACAATAGGACATCTTGTATCACTGGTTATAGAATTATATAGTCCTTTGTTACACTTTAGACTAATAAGTATAAGAAAGATAATAATTATAAAAATAATAATATATATAATAAAAATAATAAAAATAATCGAAATAATGAAAAAACAAGAAATTAGGAAATTCTAATAAATCATAATGATCATATGAATCTGATAAATTTTAAGAATTCTAAAAATCAAGAAAATCAGAAATTATATTGATTCTCTAATTTCATGATCAACATAAAATTAATTCTAACTTCTGTAGATTATTTGATAATTCTTTATAGATAAACTTTTCAATAGTGAATTTTTAGTTGGTAATAATATACAAAATATTTTTTTTTGCTAAAGAATAAAAAAAAATCTATTGTTTTAATAATAGAAGCTATTTCTAACTTTTTAATAGATTATATTATTAAAAATAAATAATAAACTTTTTATTTAATAATAAAGATTACCTTTCTCTTATGTTTTGGATAAGCATTTATTAAATCTGAATCAAAATTAGATTGAATCAGATTTTTTGTAAAATACTAATTATAAAGAAATTAAAAAAGCTACTATTAATTATTTTCAAAATTAATTTTTTTTTACTAATAAATACTTCTTAGATTCAAGATGGATTGGATTATATAATATCAATCTATAAACTTCTATTAACCAAAGTTGATATAATAATCTAATACAACTTTCTACATTTAATAAATAGATTTTAATACTTAAATCTAGTATTTCACATAGATCAGATCCAATTTGGTCAATATCTGATTCTACAGTCTTCGACGTCAGAGATCTGCAGAAAAAAAGTGTTGCTGTTTATGAAGAAATAGGAATGTCATCACGTAAATTTGTGTATCCAAAGTATATTGATTATGATCATCAGTTGGGATACCTCTTGATGCCTACTTTTGTGGGCAAATAATTTTGAAAAAAAAAATGAGAAAAATATACCGAAAAGAGATGAAAAAAAAATATTTTAACAAAAAACAACATGGTTTAAACTTCAACGTCAATTTTTATATGAATAGGGGTTAGAGAAATAAAGAGAGAAATATTTTTGAAAAGAGGGTTTTTTAGTTTGTTCGCAGGCTAAGCTGTGGCTGTCTTTTTAAACAGTCACTTTTTTAAGTAAAAATTCTTGAAAAAATCCAATGAGAGAGAGAGAGTTTTTATATATAAATATGGTTAGACACATTTTTATATAATATTGCGATAATATTTTTTACTGATTTTTCGCTAATCTACTGATCCGATTTGGACGAATTTTAGCTTGTTAGAATCGTGATACTGAGAAAAATTTGAATACAGTATCAGTTTTTGAGTAGTTAGCCTACTGAAAAATTTTCTACACTTAAATTTATTAAGTAAGAATTGTTTGTATATATCGCTAAATTGCGAAAATTGGTCTTAATAATTGCATTTCAAATTTTTTAAAATTTTTACTGAATATTAGCTAAGTATTGAGGTTTATAACAAATATAAAATTATGTTTCTAGCATTCGTAGTTGGTGAGTTTTAAGCTTTTAAAGGCAAGCAACTCTACTTGCGTTTCTTTTGTTACCCATTGTATATAAATACAATATAAATATAAGTAATATATTAAAAAAATAAAAAATATATTAAATATTTATTTATATTACTCTTACCATTCAATAAAATCACCTGAAGAAACATAAAATTCATACATAAGTAACTCACATAGAAATTTGTGACTTTTGTTACAATTTATTTTCATGTCATAAAAATTTGATTTTAATGTTGTATATCTATATTATTCAAGCAAATATAACCTCTTGTTCATCCATTATTATGATTTTTGGTATCCCAATTAGAATAATTTAAAAGTAAACCCAATCTTTGCCTACCTTCTACTCCTTTAAAGTAATATTAATATTTCTGTTGTAAAGGATTATAACTAAATGTTATTTCATTTTTAAACAGATATATAAAAATATGTTCAGTGAATAAATCTATATGAATGTGACAATGACCTATACTTGTTTAGTTAAATCCTAGTTATTTGTTAATAAAAAAAATAATTTTATTTTATATTTGATAAGTTTTATGTTAGACTTGTTTGAAAATGTGTTATAATGTGATATTATTTTACTATTATGATGTGAAGTACACATATGTATCTGAATGGTTTTTTTCAATATACAAGTAGTTGAATATAGTGAACATAAAATAATTTAGCTCTTGGCATTTGAATTAAAAGATAAAGTCACGTGTTATTAATTATCAATTATCAATTATCAAATAGTATAATTACGAATTAAGCACAGATCATCAAATAATAATAACCCAAATGTCACATGTGATATAAATGAAGTGAGTAATATCCACCTATACGTTTGAACATAACAATTCAGATATAATTCAACTTAAAATTAAACTTAAAATCAATTTAAATTCAATCACAATTCAGATACAATTTAACCAAAAATTATCTTAATTCAATTACTTAAAATCAACTACAATTCAACCACAAATCAACCATAAATCAGATATAAATCAGATATAGTTTGCTAAAAATCAACCTAATTTAACCATTTAAAATTAACCAAAAATTGCAAATCAGAACTAATATAACAAATTTAAATTTATTATAATTTATTAAATTTAAATTTTTATTATTTTACATAATTGTTAAATTTAAATTCCTTAAAAAGAAACACTTTGTAATGTATATAAAAAATAAAGTAAAATAAAGAAATGAGTCAAAAATTCCACCTTTGATTGACTTATCATAGTGTATTCCTAAAAAAATAAGAAAAAGAAAAGGAAAATGTTAAATTTTCATTTAAAATTAAAGCTTCGCATAAGCTGAGCCAGCTCACGAGCCTCACGAGTTAGCTCGTAAAAGTTCAGCTCAAGTCACTATAAAATGGCTCACGAGCCGATCAAGCCAGCTCATGTTATGGTTCAGCTCATGACGTGGCTCAGCTTATCAGCTTGGATTTTTCATTTTTAAAAAAACAATCTAGGAAGAAGTATTAACTTTGAAGAAAAACGCTTTTGGCAACGATTTCTTTGAAATTAAATGATTCTGGTCATGATTCTTCAAAGTTAAATGATTCTGGCAACAATTTCTTTGAAGAAAAATGATTTAGTAATGTTTTCTTTGAAGAATAACGTTTCCAGAGCGTTTTTTTAAATAAAATCGCCTTTGGAGCTCTTTTTTTAAATAACAATGCCTCTGGAGCGTTATTTTTAATTTATAATACTTCGGGAGTATTATTTTTAATTTATAATACTTCGGGAGCGTTACTTTTAATTTATAATACTTCCAGAGCGTTATTTTTAATTTATAATGCTTTTAGAGCATTATTTTTAATTTATAACGCTTTCAGAGCGTTATTTTTAATTTATAACGCTTTCAGAGCGTTATTTTTAATTTATAACACTTTCAGTGGTAAATTTAATAAAAATACTTTAGAAGCGTAATTCTTAAAGAA